CTTTAAGTTTCTGCCACAAACTCCATAAAAATTTCTTGCACATCTTATCCCCGTCCTCTAGGGCCTCTTGTGCTCACCATCTATCCCCAATTGTCGCGATCGTTTTTTCGCTGTTGTCTAATTTACCAAACTTGTCCATGTCACACCCTCTCTGTCTCATTTCCTCCGCGAGATCCTCTCTTTCCTTCTTGTACAACTCACACTCCCCAACTATGTGGGGTCTACTCTCCAACGATTTGCCACATGGACATGTGTGTCTATCCTCCTCTTCCTCTCTCCTACGGCTGGTATACCTCTTCCTCCGTTCTGGCAAGTCCAGATCGCCTACTCGAAATTGCAATTTCAGCTTTTTCGCATAGTCCATGGGGCCGTCCAAGTACGTCTTCATCCCTATCCCTTCTTTCAACTTCCCGTATATCTCCAAGTGGTCTTCGCTTCGTACCTTCTTCCGAAGGGTTGCCTCCTCCCTACTCTCTAGCATCTCCTTGACTTTCGTCTTGAACCCCCCGAACCCTTCCGTGTCCAACGTCTCCTGCTCGTCTCCTATCTCCTTCCAAACCTTCTCTACCACCTTGTCCCATCTGATTCCCTTCTTCCCTGGAGTCGCTTTTCCCCAAGCTGCCTTGTCAACCATGGCTGGTAGTCTATCGTCCGACATTCTACTTACCTTGTACTGCCAATTCAACTTCTGCATGTCTCTCTTTGTTTTAAGAGAGTACGTTCCCAATTATGCTCTCAATGGGGGGGGGGGGTTACTCAAGCAAACGCATGCCGCAATCGTTAGAGCATTGACCTCGCATCCCTACAATGCCGGGATGACGGAGACATAAGTCTACCAGCTCAGGCTACATATAGGTTTCGCAGGGGTGAACCAGCAAGCCGGCCATTGTCGGTTGGGGGGAGGGGGGGACGTACTCATATATTGCATGCGTTAGTTGTTTGACCATTGACCACGCGTCTTCGAGAGAGAAGGAGAATGTACAAAGTAAACGCATGCCGTAGTCGTTAGACCGTTGAATTCGCATCCCTACAACGCCGGGATGACGGAGATATAGAAGTCTGCCCGCCGGTTTTCGCCGCTCCAGGCTACGTAGCACAAGGACAAACCAGAAATTGGTCATTGTCGTTTGGCCGGGGGGACACTCATGTGTTTGCATGCCTTAGCTGTTACAAGACCGTTTTTACCACGCGTCCCTCAAGAGAGGGCGGAGCACTTTTCCCACAGGACCAAACGCCGAAGGGCCAACCGTTCCTTCCTACTTCGCCAGAGGTGGCTGTGAAAAGCGAAAACGGTTTAGGGGTACATCAGCCACTAGATTCCCGCATGCTGCCGCGGGCTGTTGACCACTGCGACTGGGTGCCTGCCGTTTGGTGCTGTGCTCTTGACAGCAAGAAAAATGAAAAAAAATCGGCCGTACCCAAAGAAAAAAAGAAAACAGGCATATTTCCGTGCATCTCTTTTTTGGGCCAAACCTACAACCAAAACGTTCCGTTTAACATACAACCTGAAACAAGGTGCACGCCAATGCTCGAAAAATAAGGTTTACAGGCCACTACAATTCTACATGCCGGAAACAAATTTACTTGCGTGGCACTCTGAGGCTACAACCGGAACTAAGCAAGGTTCATCCGAAAAACAGAAATTCTCCTGCTACAAAATAACTCTGGCACGGGGGATGCCACGTACCTCGTGGGGTATTCCGACACCTCCGCGAACTCTCCCACTCGTTCCAGGCACCTTCAAGAGAGAGAGAAAAAAAAAAAGACGAAAAGGGAGAGTTGTTCAATGTTCCATTTTCATGCTCTTGCTGATAGCCGG